CGAGCCGAACACGAACAAATATTTGTTCTTTCATGTTCGGCTCGTTTTTGGCTCGAAATACTGCTAATCAATTTTATATATATACATCTTTGATGAGCAGTATGTTTTAAAAATTTAATTGACTACAAGGCTACGAAGATTTATAATCAATTAAAAGCATTAATGAAGAAAATAGATAAAAATTATTAAAATAGATTCAAATGATGTTTTAAATCTTGCCCCAATCCTCTTAACATCTTATGACTACGTGATTAGGTTTGTCAAAATAACTCTTTGTTCGTGAACGGCTCGTGTTCGGCTCGCTAAGCAAATGAGACGAACACAAACACACTTTTTGAGCTCGAAATATAAACGAGCCGGGCTCGCTCGTGTTCGGCTCGTTTACACCATTATTAGTAACATTGGGTACAGACCCATAGGAAAAGAAAAAAAATAAAATGGTTTACTATTTTATGATATTTAAGGAATATTTACATACATACCACCCAATTTTATCTATTTACATATCTAACAACTAAGCTTACACATTTATAAACCTAACACTCACATTTATAATCTTACATTAAACATAGCACTCTTAACCTTTAAAAGGTTAAATATCTTTTCATGCACAAGTTATAATACAAAGTGTTATAAATGTAAATATTAAATTTTAGGCGGTGGGTATGTTAATACATAGGAATTGTGCGGCATGCATGTAAATTTTCCTTTTTTTTTATATAGATGATTAAAAAATGTGCAAAAATAAAGAATATTTACTCCGAATAAGGTAAGGAAATAAATTTTTTATGAATAAATAATTAGTTTAATTAAAGAAATTGTGTTGCTATTTTTATAGAAATATCATATATTAAAATATACATAAATTAACATGCTAAGGTAAATAATTATGATATCTAAATACATATGAATTGAATGACATGGATGCAAATTTTCCAAGTGTGCGTGTGTGTGTAGGAAAGACCTGGCTCATTGGTGCGGCCTCTGGCGTAAGTCTCTCGGGTCGGGGGTTTGAATCCCATTGTGCGGGTTCTTCGAATCAAAAGCAAG